TTTTTTTAAGTTTATAAAATTCGACATATTTTAAGATTATATTAAAAAATTATTGAAATATCGAAAACACATAAAAACATGGCTTAAAAAAGTTCTAACAAATGAAAATGACAATAAAACATCCACGCATTTTATCGAAAGTTATAAAAGTTTTGTTACTTGTAATATGTTTTATCTGCCCCCTGGAATTAATGTTTAGAACCTTGTTCCCAAGGTTTGAAAAACATCCGATTGTTGTCTATTACTCGTATTTACCTGCTGGATTTTTTAATCCGGTGGACAGTCCATCTAGAATGCGATGTTTACTGGTCATTGGCTCAGAAAAGGTGTGATTTTTTTTGTATTGTCTTAACACATTAGACACTGATGCGCGACACACCCCAACTTTGTGAGAAACCTTCACAACAATTTCTTTGATGGTTGATGCCTCGTTCTCCTCGCGCTCGATCTTATATATATTCAAAATGACCTCTTTCATTTCTGCACTCAGGTGTCTTTTTTTAGAGCGTTTCCTAGGTGGACTACAGGAGTTTACAACTTCATCGGCAGTATCTGTACTACTGGGCATTTTGCGCAAGCAGTTGATAACAATAACAATCAATAACAAGGTATAACAATAACAACGACAAACTCAACAACTTAATAAGATAACAAACGAAAACGTCCAAAGAAATATCAAATTGCAATGATGCACACGACATACGTAACACGTCTGAACCTGAATGTGACTCTGCCTTGATACGACTGCTCTGCCGCTCGGCATAGGCATTTAATTGCGAATTGACCAATGAGGGCTCCTGTTTTACGTCGAGACGGCGGCGTTAGCGTGAAAATCACCCGAACCTTTTGTTTACATCCGGTCTATCTCTTATCTGAATATACTGATGGCTGGCTCTGCTAGGGGGGTTTGGAGTTGATGAAAGATTCCATTTATGCATGCCACTATGATACGTCTGCTAACGTTACGATCGGATCTAAGCAAAATCGTGGATAGTCTAATAATCCTTCTATATTGCGTTTTGGTGTTATTTGAAGTGATTTAGTTGGATCAGCAATGCTGAAATCCTTCTATAACAGCTCCATCTCGGCGAATTCATGGATTCAAAGGAGAGGAGGGGAGGGGGGGGGTCAAAAACATATTAGTGGTCAATCTCGATTCGTTAGGAGGCGCTACATTTCACAGGTACAGTATTCTGTGTTTCGTTTATCTAAATTTGGCAAACTTTTTGTGTTTATTGTATGGTTTTCATTACGAGTCTTTGGTTGGTTCAGTTGTATCAGTCTCTTAATAGCGCGTATAGGGGAGACCGGGGCTGGTTGTCACATGGGTTGGTTGTCACAATAATTGTTAAATCTCAGCAGCCCCGCAAGATGTAGATGCCTGGCGCGCTACACATCGTTTCTGCGTCCGCGCAGAACACTTGTATTCAGTACGAAAGTTGTCGTTGGTAGATTAAGGTCGCACACACAAAAATAAACAAATCGCCTGACCTGAGTAAATTTTTCGTTTGCCACATAATCTGTGTTTTCAAGACTACATTTGATAATAAAAATAACTGTTAAATTTATTTTGCTCTTCAATAATCCGAATACGACTTAACGTAAGTATTGACTTTGAATTTGTTAATTTAGTGACGCTATCTAACCTTTAAAATTAATTATCTAGTGGGGCAGGTTGTCTCAAATTAGCGGGGGCTTCTTGTCACATGGTACAACCAGCGCCCACACTAGACGATTAGCTTTGCACATCATTCTACGTAGGTATATGTATATAATGTATTTTTTTAATATTTTCAGGTTACATAAGCATGGTTCGAAATTTCAAAAGGAAGACTGAGAAGGGCAAAGCGCCATCTGACGTACTTTTAAGAGCAGCTAGATTAGTGAGATTAGGATCCTCAATAAGAAAAGCGGCAGCTAACTTCAATGTAAATTACCGTACTTTAGCAAGATACTGTAAGAAAAGAGTCTGAATTACTTGATGATGGAGGTGTTACGCCGTCAATTTCAGTTGGCTACATCAAAAATCATTTAGTATTTGAGCCTGAACTTGAAAATCATCTAGTGGAATATGTACTCAAAGCATCTAATATTTATTTTGGATTATCACCCAAGGAAGTACGTGGACTGGCATATGAATTTGCTAATGCTAATTCCTTGAAAATGCCGGAAAATTGGAAGCTCCAGAAAATAGCTGGTCCTGACTGGTTTAGTGCGTTTCTAAAACGTCATCCTGTACTGTCTATTCGCAAACCAGAAGCAACTAGTTTAGCAAGAGCCAGTAGTTTCAATAAAACGAACGTCAACGCATTTTTTAATAATTTAGCTTCAGTTATGGAAAAACATAAATTGCAGCCTCACGAAATCCGGAACATGGATGAAACTGGGATTACAACTGCCCAAAGACCCGACCGTGTTGTTGCTAGAAGAGGATTCAAACAGGTTGGTTTGATAGTTTCATCAGAAAGAGTGCAGTATCAGCTATTGGAAATTCCATATCTCCTTTTTCCATTTTTCCACGGGTACATTTCAAACCACATTTTTTAAATTCGGTTCCTCCTGGCTCACAAGGTTCTGCAAACCCATCAGGTTGGATGAAAGTCACATTTCTTGGAGTTGCTTAGATTTGTTCACCTTCACGTGAAAAGCACTGTGGAAAGACCGGGCCTGCTTTTACTAGATACCATGGATCACATACAAGGACTGAATTTTGCCTAAGCAAATGGTATTGTCATGCTCTTTTTTTACCCTCACTGTTCACATAAACTTCAACCTCTTGGACCGCGCCGCGCCGTTTTCGGCCCTTTTAAGACATATGTAAATACTTCCTGCGATGCTTGGGTTTTAAATAATCCCGGGAAGACCATGACTATATACGACATACCTTCAGTGGTCTCTATTGCATACCCCCTCGCATTTACTCCCAAAAATATACAGTCTGGATTTCGGGTGTCGGATATGTTTCCTTACAATAGAGATATTTTTACGGATGATGACTTTCTTGCGAGCTCTGTCACTGATAGGCTAGATCCGGGTATTTTGAACGAAGCAATAACTGGATCAAACCCGGAAACCTTAAACGAAAAAGAAATTGGGCCAAATCCAACCATCTTGAACGAAGATGAAACTTTACGTCTGATAAATATTAACACGCAGGAAGCAATAGATAATATACGAGAGAGCAAAACAGCTAATCAAACTTGTTTTGATGATCCCTGCTGTAGTAGTTTAGTAAAGCTGCGTATGGGAAATACGAATATAGTACTTCCAAAAAGTTATCCAAAGGCATAGGCAAGAAAAATGAATCGAGTTTCCCGTCGCAAATGAGGGAGTGCAATACTCACTAACACTCCAGTAAAAGACGAATTAGAGAAATAGACAAACAAAAGCTGGAACAAGAAAAAGAGGAACAGGGAAACAGTGAAAAGAGACGTTTTTGATTCAGAAAAAAAATGAAGAAATCTAAAATAAAAGAAAAACGCAAGTCCTGTTCAGATAATGAAACTGATGGAGAAGAATGCTTTTGCTTGATTTGTCTTGAACCATTTTCTAACAGCGCACCAAATGAAGAATGGGTGAAATGCTCATCGTGTAATGGTTGGTCTCATGATGCGTGCACTGATGGACGCGAACTTTACATATGTCATAACTGCGATAGTGACTAATTGTAAAAAAACTCTTCTACTTCTTTCTCATAAAGATTTGGTGTTTAATAAGCATTTTTTGTAATAATAAATATGTTTAAAAGTATGATATCATAATTTATTAATGATCTAAAATACACGTGACAACCAACCCCAAGCAATGTGACATCCAGCCCCAGCAAGGGGCAAGTTGTCACATTTGTTTATGTATTTTGAAACATTTTAATTTAATATTGTGAATTATTTTACAGCCTTATCGATTTTACATAGTGTTCCCAAAGGATAAACCATATTAGTTATGCACCAAATATGTGCATATAACGCTTCAGATCGAATAAAAAAAAGAATTACTGAAAATTGTGACAACTAGCCCCGGTCTCCCCTACTTCCATTTGTCTGATTATTTTGTGCAAAAAATGGCCCATGTTTACATGATGGGGCTCCACCACATTTTAGACGAGAAGTTCATGAACATCTAAATAATGAGATTTTCAAATAGATGGATATGGCTCAATGGACCCATTTCTACTCTGGAAGAATTTCAACAGCGCACTGGAGATGCTTGTGGTTTAATTCGTAAACACCAGGATTTTATTTTCGAAGCTTGTAAAGAGTCGTGGATTCGCTGAGCAAGATTTTGCGTTAATCGAATAGTTGTGGACAATTTTGAACAGTTTTTATAAAGAAGGTATCCGTTTAACTTGATAATGATTATTTTTAAATAAGTTTTAATAATGTAAATTAACTTTCTTATAACTCAACTTCTATGTAGGTGATTTTTTGTATATCAACTTCTTTTGATGAGTTTTACAAGCTGTTAAAATGAATTTCTCAACTTTGAAAGCACCATGTATAACGAAAAAGGTACTAGGCCATAAGCTTCTGGCGGGCAGGTCTTGAGCCCCAATGCCTCTCCCCGAATACTCCAGTAGATACCTTAGCATCTACTTTAGATAGTCTAACCAGACTAGCGCCACCTAACATGAGCAAATATGTACATCGCTGCCATTGTGTACGGGTGAAGTCCAAATCATGTTGTCGTCGTGAGAACCATTTGAAACCAGTGACTCAGTCCTAAATAGCTTTTCTTGACCATCCACAACAGCTAACGAGACGTTCGCGTACCAAAAATTTCTTGAGCAATACTAATTTCTACAGATCTGAACGAAATGATATTTTGATAAGTTAGACATCTACCTGTTTCGGATACTTAGGTAATGCAGATGTCTCATTTCAACTAGAAACAATAATCGCCAAGAGTGATGGTAATATTAAAATTAGCTGCACGTGATTTATTTTGTAGTTCAAAAACTGACAAACGTGTCAAAGAAAACTACTTCAGTTTATCTTAATACTGTTTATTATAACGTCTGAATAAGTAGATTCTTATTAGGTACATGGAACTATATCAATCAATGGAAAGAATAAATAAATGTAAGCCCTAAATTGAAATGATCAAGAATAAATAGTAAATAATTTAAATAATACTGTACATTTCAGTGAGTATAATACATAGATGGTAAATGCTGAACAACACAAGAATGTAACAATCACAAATTAGTTTGAAAAAAAAACATGTTCTTTAGTTGATCAGAGCTAGGCGTTATGCTACACGAACTACTGATTAATATACATTTAGATTTACATCTGCATTTATGTATACCCTGTATGTAAAAAATACTGTTGCAACACCATACTTTTAATGCACACATTCAGTTTTCGAAATATCAAAACATATTTTGGAACTATACCTATACACCATGAAGAAGGACTGCTTTAATTTAATGATAATGTGCCAAGATTGTAAAAGCTGTTTGTATTTTATAAAGTTGAAGTAAAATATTTTCTAAATAATGTATTTAGTTAATATCTTTGATTCATGGTGAATGCGCACTTATTTTAGTAATCGACACATTCGCCATATGTTAAACACTTCTCAATAAGATCATACACTTTCACCAAGATTGTAATGTTATCTGCATTGTTATATGTTATTGCTATTGATCTAAGAATGAATCATCGGAAATATGCATACTATCAATGTTGACTCTTAGATCAAAGTTAGATACGTTCTGTTAAGAGTGAGAACGCTGGAAGAATCTGAAGTTATCAACACGTAATCCTTTAAGCAGATTTTAAGAGAGAGCCAGCTGACTGTCATAAAATGCTTATCATCACATATTTGTACCAATATTATATATTATATTAAATAGAGAACAACATCCATGAAAAATTTACGCAGTTTGACCTACACGTCTAGACGTATATTAAATAAACTTTCGTCGAAGTGTGTTTCGTCATGACAGATCCTTAACTAAACAAAGGAAGAGCAGAGCGATACGAAAAGCGAGTGTTTGTTTTGATGCCACTCCTGATTTCACCTTCTCACATCAAGGGTCACGCCAACTTTATTTACAAACACTAACCCATTCTTCGAAACTACACATCTGGCATTCCACTTGACAGCACCACACGAATTTACAGTTGCATCTTTCCACCTTTTGTCGCCTCACCTGAAACCATATAAAATAATTAGTTATTTTATATTAGAGCTCGCCCACACATCATAATCAATCGTATAATGTTGCAGCATTTTTAAATACGGGTTGTGAATAACCATTCAAACATGTGGTCCCAATGGAGAAAAACTACAACAGACGGTTGAAAATAGTGACTCTGATGAGGAGGTTTTCAATGTCGACAATTTGACAGAGAGACAATATTCATGTTAGACTTCGCAATCACTGGCTTTATCCACGACTGTGTTCTTGTTTTAGGGATATATGAAAGAAAATATGTGAAAGGGTGAGCCAAGAAACATCCCCTACTTGAACGACAATGAACAATAAAATTGAGCTAATCGTCCGAAATCTTGTGGGAAATTATAAAAAAAGTTTGGGTTCGTTTTGATATAATTGTGTCCTTTGGCAATAAATAACTCCACCGTCACTAAACAGATCTTCAAAACCAAAGAAGCGTTACCGGCTATCGACAGATCTACGAGGCTCTGACGTACTATACTCGTAGGCATACTGTATATGCTAACATCAAAAATTTCAGATCCCTAGATCGTCAACTAGTTGGAATATTCATTACTACTTCAAGTTATTCAAAGTATATGATCCTTGCGTAAATTGAATTTTGAAGTTGGAAACTATTTTTTTACTCACCAAGTCGTACCCCCTTCCACAACACAAAGCTGAACAGGAATCAGGTGCAGATGCTATGGCAGTTCTGTTACACCGTCGTCCCCTGGTCCCAGGCAGGTCTAACGACTTCTCTTTCTCACAAAAATCGGGCGACTTTTGGTAGTACAGGAGGTCACGACTGAGGTCACGCTTGTGCTTCGTCCTGCGTGGCGTCCATTGTTTTCCTGGCCAGCCACGATTCATTGAGGACTTTTGCTTCTGTCGACGTCGGCCGTGGTTTATGCTGGAGAAACGAACAATTACATCAGGTAGACTCAATTGGAAGAGTGCATACAATTTTATTATTGTGAGATCCGCTAAGAAGCAATCCGATATTGCATTCGTGAATATATTTTAACATACTAAATAACATAGAAAAAGGAAACTCGGTAATAATGAATTTATTACAAAAAAGTATATGTTTAGGTTAAGACAAAAAACGGTCAGCTTTTCAATTATTTCGGCGAAGTGGTTTTTATGATATCAGCTCTGTTCGTCGCCAACATGTCAGTGATCGTGTCCCGCCACACAAATTCCGTTCATTTTGCTCCGCGATATAGACGTAATTCACGCGGTCGGATCCCTGACACAGTCACCGACCAGTCACCAACTACTGTACGAACAAACCATAAGTCTGTTTTTACAAAAAGATAAGCGATAGTTGTCCTGTAGCTACAATTGGTATTTGACTATCATATGATACGATTTCAAGAGGGAGGAACGTATCAACTTACGTGGTATCTAGCTCGAACGTTTTTCTAAAAAATCATGTTGGAGATACTGAATTAAGAGGTTTTTGAAATAAACGATTCAATTCAAATCCGTATTTTTATTAAGAAGTCATTGACGATCTAAATATAGACTGACAATGTCGCAGTTGAATTGGACAAATAGTTCATCCGTCCAAGCCAATTATACTTACGAGTTAAATCTCCGAATACTTTTCCTTCCTAAATTGTTTTGGTCTACTAATACTGCAACGTTATACTTCTCCTTCAAGGCCCTGCCAACAGTCCTGTAGTCAGGAGTGGCCCTCCAGCAGGTTTTTAGCTCACAGCTGCCTGACATGCCATGACATTTGCACTTTATTTGCATGTTACTCGTTACCGCCTGCAACAAATTAAAAGTCATTAGCGTTATTTAATTGTTTAATTTGCTGGGGATAGGCGCATGGTAATTATTTTGAGGTACACTACTGTCCAAAAGTGTGGGAGCAGCAATGGCAAAATCATGATGTAAGATTTTAGCTTTGTTAGGCTTACGACATTTCAAGGCTATATATAGTGTATCACGTCATTAGGAATACGTGAGTACTGGCAATCTTTCCAATGGAGCGTTCTGAAAAAGACATAAAATAACTAATACTTAGAGATCAATTATTCGTCTCGGCCGTAGGTGCCAAATCAAAAGGTGATGTCAGAAGCAGCCAAGTGTGTCAGGGATGAAAATAATTTCGCCTTAATGCAATCAAAACCAGCGTATTTATAACGTTTGATGTTGTGTCCTTTGTTCCGGTTGATTGAGGAGTTACAGTTCCTCACTTGGATCCATCATTACGAAGGCCGCTATCTTGAATTTTCTCCGGTGTTAGTGTGTCATAAGTTGGCATGAGTCCATTGCCATTAAAAACTTCGATGGTAAGTCGAATATTTGGCTTCGATATGTGGATGACTTGCTTAATCTCGAGCCGTCAAGCATAGGAACTACAAGTCTTCGTCGAACACCTAAACAACCTAAGACCATCGATTAAGTTCACAAGGGAAGAAAAGAACAACAACCGCCTTCCATTCTTGGGCGTCATGGTAACAAGGAACAACTCTAGAATATAAACTGTATACAGAAAGCCAATGTTCAGAAGAATATCTAAATCGTTATCCAGCAACCACGAAGATAGGCGCAATTAAAACACTGATCGACTGAGCAAAGAGCATCTAAAACATGCAAGTAAATCTCCAGGATCAAATCAACCGCATCAAAGAGGGTCTATTAAGAATGGATGCCCAACACGACTGTTAAGTGAAGACCTAAAAGAAAAAAACAGCAATAATAGCAGAAACATGCGGAATGAACCCCAGTTCTATCATGTGATGGAGGAATAAGTGACAAAGCACCACCTGATACTTTGGGATGAAGCTAAGATCTTATACAAAAAAGCACACTGGCATCGGAGATAATTCAATGAAGTGGCCTTTATGATTATGTATGAAAATATCTACAGTAATCCAAATGGGGAAGTTAAACCAGTACGACAACCAAATGGACACATCAAACAACTGCAACTCTACCACCCAGAACAAGGAACACGTCACAACCTACCACTGGCCACGTCAACTAACGGTATACTAAGTCAAGAAGGAGCATGTTGACCAGTTTCCCTGATTGAAGATCATATCAATCAAAACGTCGGGAATGAAAAAACCTTATCGACAATGGAAGTCCAAGAAACAAACATTAAAGGACTTTAAACGTAGTACACTTCAAGGTATTAGGAAGTCTTTTGTGTGTTTCTCCTGTGGGGATATTTGAATAAATATCTGTTTATGAGACAGCCAAGGAAGAGTGCCCTCTTGAAAGACGATATACGCGACGAAAGCGATTTCAGTCATGACGCTTGAAATTTTGCAAAAGGTAATGGAAAAAGCTATGGTAGAACGCGAGTATGTGAAAAAGAATATGAACGAAATTTAAGGGATTTAATTATTCGTGCCAAATTTCATATTAATATACGTACTGTTAAAACATACTCATTTTAATTATCTCTTAAATAAAAAGGCTTGAAAATTTTAAACCATTTTGTCCTACTCTGTAGCATGAAGCAATAAGTTCTGGCACGCCCTGACCTCTCATGGACGCTTGGAATCCGACAAATGCGAAAAAATACCTTTTTCTTTCTAGCAGTATTAAAAATAAAAACGTCTTGGCGTGACATACAGACTGGGTTATCTTTCAATGCGCGAGCTTCAAGTAAGTTTTTACAGTATACGAGCAAAAAACAAGAATAGAAGAGGATTTAGCTATTAACACTGTTCGTGTCAAGGAGGAAGACATACAAAAATGTTTTTTGTGTACAATAGACTTACATCAGCTTCCCAGTAATTAAAGTCAATTTTAATCGAAATTTCTAAGAAGCTGATGGAAGGATATTCTAAAAAAACTGGTTCTGCTACACCTTAGCGCTATTAAAACGCCTATAGAATACATTGATATGCCTTACACCATGGACTCAGTCTAAGTTATTGAAATTAATTTATTAAAATCAGATTAAATGTGAAATAGCGACTTTCCAGTAAATAATATTACAGAGACCACCCGGGAGATTTCTCCCTAATGCTTAGTCAACATTCATTCTTATCAAATATTTTTATAGGCAGCAATGATTTAAGCCACAACCATTGGGATTTGTTAATGAAGCAGCTACAAAGTCATCAAATAATGTTTATAGTACAATTATTGTAATTACTTGGTTAATGGATTAAATACGAGTAGTAGCTACATGTACGTTCTGAATTACGAGCATTGGCTTGTTTGATGGCTTGCAATTTCGTTTGGTTATGTGATGGTATGTATAGAGAAGACCGAAATATAATATGATTTTTTTTGTAAATGAATGTGGTATTTTTAAAAAATCAGTATATGAACTAACTGCAAAACATATCCCTACACAAAACATATCAATAAAAATATAAACACAAAAAGATATAGCCAAGATATATAGTCGAGCCAATGCTGCGGTATTTTTATGTTGGATAAGCTATAGTTAGCGCATTTAGTTACGTTGCATTAAGTAGGATTCCCATATTTGGCAATTTGACACCAACATATACATAGGCTGGAAATCTCAAAGAATCGAAGCTCCGGTAGATAACATTATAATATTGCGGTGTTTCTTTTTTATGATTTTGTACATAAATAATAATTTTGCATACCCATTTTTACAGAATAATTAGTCAGCGAACAACAGTGGATAATATTTCCAAGGTCGCAGTCTTAGCATCAGTAATCTCCTCTTGAATTTTGCGAATTTTGTTACCTCGTAGATTTATGGCATATAATTACCGGACACCAAATATAAACAAAAGGGACCCATCTTTATACGACAGTCTTTATAGTCAATACAATGTAACGTAATAGCACGTCACATTAGACACAATGCCCTTTTCCCGACATTTACGAGTGCTTCCCACAGTGAAACGATGATGTAGTACCATTAGTACCACAACCATAAACCTCAACGACGTTTGTCTTCATTTACAGAACAAATCTCATCCGATTTCATCTAACAGATAATGTACTCGTAATGCCGTTGATTAAAACACTACCTCGGTATTAACAATAACCTGTTCGCTGGATGTCATAAAGGCGATACATGGCCCGGATCGTGGGTATCTCTATAATTGATCGTAATGGCTCAATTGAGACGCTATTCGCTCAGCCGCCCAAGAACAATACGAGGGTTAAACATTAAATTCTCAAACTAGACCGTCTTGATGCCAATTGTCTTCATATGTCATAGCAGCTTTTTAGGTTTAAACCTCGAAAACGGCTTACTTAGAACCTTTCTTGTTCAGTATGAGGTGTAAGAATCTGAAAAAAATGTACGGAGCAAAAAGAAAACGTGTAAATTTCTTAGAAAATTTGTTTAAACAAACCTGTTTCTGGTTACCGACCGGCTGCTTATTTATCCATGTTAAGGAAATTGCAATGGACATGATTATGGGATCCAATGTAACTGAAAATTTTATATCGCAAATTCCAGAGTTTCGCCTGATAAAAGATCTTGGCATCTATGCAAGTTATTCATTCAGTTTGGAATCAGTAATTGTAGCTATAACTTTCCATGCTTTTCTTAAATTTTCTTCTAAAGCTATAAATTACGTTATGTATATCGAGCATGCGATGAGATGAAACAGGTGGTATAAGGTAATAATATTTTTTTCTTGCGAAAATCTGAAGCTTGTTCTTTGTTGACATTCATAAGCATTTATGGATTCGTTTGTTAACGTCGCACTGTTCGCAAAGGCAGAGAATCCGCAAAAGCAGTATAGTCCAGATATTATCTTCACACTGCTCGGAAAAATAATGTTTTTCTGCATAATCTTATTAAAAGATCCCCTTCTAATGAATCTTCATTTTGTCAGGCCCATAATTGCGTGAACAATTATACGAACATTTTTTTAGCAAAAGAGTTTCTTTTCACTCCGATCAAAGAAAGGCACCTTAGAACTCTCTAAAGTTGAGCGTTGTTGAGTTATAAGCAATTTAATGTCTAAAGAATCCTAAAAACGGTATTTTTTGTGATTGAAAAGTCGGTTAAAGATTAAAATTTCTGAGGTTATCAAGTATCTAAGTTTAAGTTGAAACTGTTCCCTTAAAGACCTCGTAGAGTATTTTATGATTAGCTTATTTTGAAGCAATTTTTAACCTTGTTCGGTGGTTCAAAATTGACAAGGACTTTTGCAGACTGTAATTAAAAAACGCAGTGGCGCCCTGCCCGTGGTTCAAGTAAATGGAGCTCGTGTAGTGTTGGACTATCCAATCAAGTACCTCGATGTCACTCTTGATGAACTGACAAACTCACATCAAAACACTTGAAACTGAAATCGACAGTATATTTTGCCAAGTTTTGCCTATGTCGTATATTTGGACAAAAAAATCGCTACACAAAGTCTTTATAAGACCAGTAATCACTTGTACGCCTACATTTATTAGGTCTACAGGAAAGTTATGTCCATTTTTAAGATACAACAGAATAATTTGTCTCCTTGCCTTGGACAAAATTTATGGAATAATATAATGTTTATAAGTATACTTTTTGTAACACGTTTTACTTCTAGTTGCGAAGACAAATATGCCGTGCTTGTTGAATATTATCCTCGCTTTAAATGTTTTACCCTATACAAAACCTTGTAATAACAAAAATAGGGGATAGGATGGTACTAGGAGAGTTTGGGGATGTGACAGCTGTCGTGGTCTGGCATTATTATGCACTAGTACATTATTATTTCTACCGAACATCGCTGACGTTTTCTCTTGGAGTCTTAGAGTTAATTTAATTTCTGATAATGCCTCTCCGAGTATAGCTTTTTACTTGGTTCCAACAGCTCATTATG